TCGGAACAAGCCGTCAGGATTGATAAAAACTGCTCATATGGATAGCATGGCCAATCATGGACAAACTCATCTTAAGTCATCAGTACAAGCCCGCTTCTTGGAGAAATTTTCAGAAAAATGAGCCATAAAACCGGTCATGATTGATGCAAAGAGAGAGAGAGAGAGAGAGAGAGAGAGAGAGAGAGAGAGAGAGAGAGAGAGTTCACAATGTTCATGTCCCGAAGGACGAAAAACACTTGCAATTATACCGAGTTACATCCTCAAGAAATTGGGAGAGTCATGGTGTGGAGAGTCTCCAATAAACAAAAAATGAGCGATAAAACCGGTCATGATTGATGCAAACTGCTCGTATGAATAGCATGGCCCGTCATGGACAAACTCATCTCAAGTCATTAGTACAAGGCACCTACCCACCACCTCCCCACCGAGCCGGCCGAAGCACCTCCCCACCACCTCCCCACCGAGCCGGCCGAAGCACCTACCCACCACCTCCCCACCGAGCCGGCCGAAGCACTTACCCACCACCTCCCCACCGAGCCGGCTGAAGCACCTACCCACAATTAGCAATTGTGCTTGATGCAAACTGCTCGTATGGATAGCATGCACAACCATTCCAGCAAACTCATCTTAAGTCATCTGTACAAGCCCGCTTCTTGGAGAAATTTTCAGAGCGAGCGAGCGAGCGAGCGAGCGAGCGAGAGAGAGAGAGAGAGACAGAGAGAGAGAGAGAGAGAGAGAGAGAGAGAGAGAGAGAGAGAGAGTTCACAATGTTCATGTCCCGAAGGACGAAAAATACTTGGAATTATACTAAGTTACATCCTCAAGAAATTGGGGGAGTCATGGTGCGGAGAGTCTCCAATAAACAAAAAACGAGCGATAAAACCGGTCATGATTGATGCAAACTGCTCGTATGAATAGCATGGCCAGTCATGGACGAACTCATCTCAAGTCATTAGTACAAGGCACCTACCCACCACCTCCCCACCGAGCCGGCCGAAGCACCTCCCCATCACCTCCCCACCGAGTCGGCCGAAGCACCTACCCACCACCTCCCCAACGAGCCGGCCGAAGCACTTACCCACCACCTCCCCACCGAGCCGGCCGAAGCACCTACCCACAATTGGCAATTGTGCTTGATGCAAACTGCTCGTATGGATAGCATGCACAACCATTCCAGCAAAACCACCATATCAATCAACAATCAAATCACCTACCACTATGAACCGCTTTCAGCAAGCGCACCTGCACACCTCCAATCACTATCAACTGCGAACAAATCAAAGTCGGACGAATACCTCATTGACTCCTGCTGGAGCAAACTCCTCCCCTCCTGGCACAAACATGATCCTTTGTTCTGATATCCACCAGAGGAACCCCCAATTCCAAGGCCAACTTGGTGCATGGCCCCTCCTTGTCCACCTTGCTCTGCTGAAAACTGAGTCCCTGATAATGGTGGTGTGTTTGGCTTTGAACCACCACCTTCATCGTATCAATCAACAATCAAATCACCTACCACTATGAACCGCTTTCAGCCGGCGCACCTGCAGACCTGCAATCACTATCAACTGTGAACCAATCAAAGTCGGACGAATACCCTATTCACACATTCTGGAGCAAAGTCCTCACCTCCTGCCACAGACATAATCCTTTCTTCTGATATCCACCAGAAGAACGCCCAATTGCAAAGCCAACTTGGTACATGGGCCCTCCTTGCCCACCTTGCTCTGCTGAAGACTGAGTCCCTGATAATGGTGGTGTGTTTGGCTTTGAACCCCCACCTTCATGGTTTGGAATTCGTAAAAGCATTCCCCGTTCCTGTTGCCCTGGTGGTGTCTGCACTTGGTGTTGGCCCGGACTCATCCCTGCACTTGTGTTCAGCTGGTGCATCAGAGTGCCTTGCAGTACGAGGCCCAAGACAACCTCATTTTCCCTAGAGATTGTAGGACTTTGTGCGGACTTCCCTGACTCGTTGTGGAGTGTTCCAACAACCACCTGCACAAGACAACCCGCACAATACGATTCATTAACATTCACTACCTCAAAGACTGAGTAGCGGTTAATGGAAGAACTAAAATTCCGTTTTTTTTGCTGCATTAACACAAGCATTGTGTTGGGAAAATTTCGCTAACAAACAATGCAGGTTCATAATACAACTAAAAAAAATATGTCTGGGGGTTAGGGTAGCTAACAAACAATGCAGGCTCATAATACAAACATAAAAAGACACATCTGATGTCTCTGTCTCTCTCTCTGTCCATCTCTCTCTCTCTCTGTTTATAAATATAATATATTAGAATTTGACTTTTTTATCTTAAAAAAGTTCTATGAAATGTTCTCCTTGAATGGAGTGTGCCTTCAAGACTGGACTACACTACAATGGGGGAATTGGGACTTCGGCTTCACATGGCAGAAGTCTTAACTAATACTAGACTAGATGACCTGTTGCAGCTTCGCTCACAAAGACAAATATGATGGGTGATGCATTCATCGTGTAGGCAACTGCCCAATGCTCTCTCTCTCTCTCTCTCTCTCTCTCTCTCTCTCTCTGCCATGCGGCACAATCTCGTGACTTTAACACACCTTCCACCCCAACCCTCCTCTAATACCCCTCCCTTCCCCCTCCTCCCTTCTCTCTCTCTCTCTCTCTCTCTCTCTCTCTCACACACACACACACACACACACACACACACACACACACACACAAAACACACACATGTAGACAAATGAACGCACAAAAAGAAAACTAAAAAAAGA